ATATTAGCCAGGTGTGGTAGTTCCAGATACTTGGAATGCTGAGGGAAGGATCACCAGAGCCCAGCAGGTCGAGGCTGCAGTGGCCGAAAGCGGCCACCGCACTCCAGTCTGGGCGACAGAGTGAGACTCCAACTCAAAATAAATAAATAAATAAAAAAGTTAGCTGGATGTGGTGGCGCATGCTTGTAGTTCCAGTTGCTTGGAAGGCTGAGGTGGTGGGACTGCCTGAGCCCAGCAGGTCGAGACTGCGGTGGCAGTGACCGTGAGCGTGGCACTGCACTGCAGCCTGGGCGACGAAGTGAAACTCCGATTCCAAAAAAAGAGTAAAAACTGCAGCCACAGGTTAGCGAACCTCTACGAAGAGCTAACCCTTGGTGAGGCTCTGCACACTTTTGGAAGAAAGTTCTCTTCCCTGCACCAGCGTCGGGGAGCAGGACTCGCTACGTGTAACACCCAGAGCCGCTCGGCCAGCCGCCAGCTTGACGCAGGGCCGCGGCGGCAGCTGCAGCTCCAGGTTCTGCTCAATCGACAGCCCTCAGACCGCCGCCCCGACAACCGCGGAAGCCGCGTGGGCCGCTCACGGGCTCGTATCCCGCCATGCCCAGCACCAGCCCCGCCTGGGGTGCCCCTCAGCAGGCGAGGGATCGAGCAGGGCCCCCGCTCTAGTGTACCTGCCGGCCAGCCCTGGTGCAAGGAACGGCCACCCAGGGAAACCGAGGTTCTTCCAGAGCCCGAATGCAGCCAGGCAGGGAGGCGGGCGGGTGCCGAAGGCTCCTAGGGCGAAGGGGCTGCCCTTCCCTCCTCCCGGGGAGCGCTGTCGCCGACCTCAACCGAGGCGCCTCTTCTATCCCAAGAGGCTCGTCTGGCCCACTCCCTAAGCCCCAAAGCAGCCTCCAGGCTTACTCAGAGGCCACAAGGCCTCTCCGGACCGGACGCCACGAGCCTTACGCCCCAGCCCGGGACAGGGAAAGGGAGGCATTCTTCCAATCCGGTGGCCCCAAGGTCCAAAATGTAAAACCTTCCCAAAATGGCCGCCTGGGCAGCCCCGCCAGCGCGAGTCGGACGCCTTGCCAGGGAAGCCCAGACTGAGACGCACGAGCCTCGCCTCCCCCTCGGCCAGGACGCACATCACTCGTTCACCGTCCCTGGGCGGTGGGGTGTTCTAGGCGCGCCAGAAGTCCCCGAGGGCCCCGTAAGGAAGCTGCGCCCGCGCTCGGGGCCCACCGGCTCGCACAGACACGGGGACCTCGCCGTTGCCGCTCCCGAGACGGCGCCCCGCCTCCTGCGTCGGTCGCCCTGGAGACTAGCGTCCACCGCGCTCCGGCACCGAGATGGCGGCCACGCGCCGCCCGGGTGTCCCGCTTCCGGATCGCCTAAGATGGCGGCGGCGGGGCCGGGAGAGGCG